GAGTGATTATGCAAAGGTGTGGGTGGAAAGACCAGAAGTGTTTCTTTTTAAACTCTCCGAAATGCCAAAAGGGAACAAGAGTAAGAAAAAGGGAAGTAGACCAGAAGAAACCCTAGTGCCTCCCCCACCCTATGTACCCCCACCCCAGGCACAGGAAGCGGCAGCCTCTCCGAATGCACCGACAGGGACAGACTCAGATTCGGATGGACCTGAGTATACAGGACCAGCGACCCGAAGTCGAACCAAAAAGGGTTTATACCCCTTAAGGGAAATGCCTATGGGGGGACCACAGGCAGGCATAGGGTTTGTGTCGGTGCCCCTGAGCTCGGGAGATGTCAGGGATTTTAAGAAAGAAATGAGACACCTTTTGGAAGATCCGCTTGGGGTAGCTGAACGGGTAGACCAATTTTTAGGGCCCAACATGTATACCTGGGAGGAACTACAATCTATACTGAACATTTTATTCACGGCAGAGGAGAAAAATATGATTAGAAGGGAAGGGATGCGCATTTGGGATATGCAACATGCGCAGGGGCCGGCAGCAAACATAAAATGGCCATTACAAAACCCCAATTGGGACCATCAGAATCCGGCCCATAGAGTCCACATGCGGAATCTCAGAACGATAATCGTGCAAGGAATCAGGGAATCTGTTCCGAGAGGGCAGAATATTAATAAAGCCTTTAATGAAAGACAAAAGAAGGACGAGACCCCCACTGAATGGCTGGAGAGACTGAGAAAGAACTTTCAGTTATACTCAGGAATGGATCCAGATGGGCAGATGGGGCAGGCAGTACTAAAAGTACATTTTGTTTCCAAATCCTGGGAGGACATCAGAAAGAAAATACAAAAGTTGGAAGATTGGACATCAGAAAGAAAATACAGAAGTTGGAAGATTGGCAAGATAGAGGATTAGATGAGTTGTTAAGGGAAGCTCAGAAAGTATACGTGAGGAGGGAAGAAGAGAGAGATAGGAGGCAGGCTCGAATAATGGTGGCAGCAGTGCGCGAAAGCCAGGGGTTAGATAGGAGATTCGAGCAGAGCAGAAGGGAACCGAGACGGAACGAACCATCCCCAGGGGGGTGGAAAGGTCCAAGGGAAAAGCAGGAGTTAAAGGTGTGCTTTTACTGCGGAAAGAGAGGACATTTTAAGAGGGAGTGCCGGATGCGGATCCGAGATGAGAAGGAGTTCAAGGAGGATTAGGGGGGTCAGGGGCTCTACCTCTTGGGGACCCAGAAACATCAAAGGGAGCCCTTGATAAAATTGAAGGTGGGTCCCCAGGGCCAGGAAGTTATCTTCCTGGTCGACACTGGAGCTGAGAGGTCTACGCTCCAGTCGTTACCTAAAGGGTGTAAATTATCAAAAGAAACTGCCACGGTAGTGGGAGCAAAAGGGGAACCTTTTGAAGTTAAGATAATAAAGGAAGTACCGGTGGAATCAGATTCCAAAATGGGTATTGGAAACTTTTTATTAGTACCAGAATCAGACTATAACCTATTAGGTAGAGACATGATTGTAGAATTAGGCATTCAAATCGAAGTGGTAGAACAGGAGATTCGGATCAAGTTGTGCCCCTTAAGATTAGAGGATGAGGAGAAGATTAACCCTGAAGTATGGTATAGTCCTGACAGTGCCGGAAGACTGGAAATTACTCCCTTTAAAGTAACAATCAGAAACCCGGAGATTCCAGTAAGAATAAAACAGTACCCTAGAAAACCCTTATACATTATTGAGTAAACTAAGCCTGGACAACCACTGGTATAGTGTAATAGACCTAAAGGATGCCTTTTGGGCTTGTCCCTTGGATGAGGCAAGCAGAGATTACTTTGCCTTTGAATGGGAAGATCCAGAAACCGGAAGGAAACAACAACTCAGATGGACAGTATTACCCCAAGGATTTACAGAATCCCCGAACTTATTTGGACAAGCCTTGGAACAAATTCTAGAGAATTACCAAAGAGATTCTGGAGTAACCCTGATACAATATGTAGATGATTTATTATTAGCAGGAAAAGAAGAGGAAGAAGTAAGAAGAGAGAGTATAAGGCTTTTAAATTTCCTGGGACTTAAAGGTTTAAAGGTTTCAAAGGCTAAATTACAGTTTGTGGAAGAAGAAGTAAAGTATTTAGGGCACTATTTGAGACGAGGTGAGAAAAGAATAGACCCAGAAAGGGTACAGGCTATTTTATCATTACCAATACCCAAGAATAAGAGACAGATCAGGCAGATTTTAGGTTTAACGGGATACTGTAGACAGTGGATTGAAAACTACAGTAGCAAGGCCAGGTTCTTGTACCAAAAACTGACTCAGGATGGGTTGATGAAATGGACTCAAGAGGATACTGAAAACTTGAAGGAACTGAAGGAAAGTTTAGTGCATGCCCCTGTTCTAAGCCTCCCTGATTTAAAAAGACCCTTTTATTTATTTGTTAATATAGAGGGAGGAGTTGCCTTCGGGGTACTTACCCAAAAATAGGCAGACAAGAAGAAACCTGTAGCGTATTTATCAAAACTTTTGGACCCCGTAAGCAGAGGATGGCCCACATGTTTACAAATGTTGGCTGGGTGCGCCTTACTAGTTGAAGAAGCTAAGAAAATTACCTTCAACAGTAGCCTTAAGGTTTACTCTCCCCATAATATCAGGAGTGTAATGCAACAGAAAGCAGACAAATGGATATCCGATGCTAGGCTCCTAAAATATGAAGGGATTTTACTAGAAGCACCAAATTTTACCCTAGAAACAACTGCAATTCAAAATCCAGCTACCTTTTTGTTCGGGAGCATAGAGCAAGAACCTTTAACACACAATTGCTTGATAACTATTGAGGAACAAACCAAGATCAGGCCTGATCTGGAAGAAGAAGAATTAGATAAAGGAGAACGGTTGTTTGTAGATGGATCCTCCCGGGTGGTAGAAGGAAAACGGCAATCAGGGTACGCCATCATTGGGGGCAAAGGCTTACAAGTAGTGGAATCAGGGGCCTTGGATAAATCTTGGTCAGCACAAGCCTGTGAACTGTACGCCATCCTTCGGGCTTTAAAACTTTTAAAAGGAAAAGAGGGAACAATATATACTGATTCTAAATATGGGTTTGGGGTAGTACATACCTTCGGAAAACTATGGGAAGAAAGGGGACTAATCAACTCACAAGGGAAGGGATTAGTCCACCAGCAATTGATAGCTGGGGTGTTGCAAGCCCTGAGGGGGCCAAAAAGGATAGCTGTAGTACATCTGAAAGGCCACCAAACAGGGACAGACCTCAAGACTAGGGGTAATAATGCAGCAGATCAAGAGGCAAAACGGGCAGCAGCAAGGGAAATGGTTTTAAAGGAAAAATCGGGAGAGCAAGATAGACTAAGGGAAAATACGGAATTAGTCTTCACCCCCGAAGAGGAGGATAAGTTAAAGAAACTAGAATTGTCCAAAGATAATGGAAAATGGATAACCCAGGATGGGCGGGAAATATTGCCCAAAGCAGTAGCCCAACGAATTCTGTATAAATTACACCAAAGCACACACTGGGGAGCCCAAGGGTTAGCAGACCATTTCGCAACTAAGTACATGACTATTGGGTTACACGACATTGCTAAGTATATCACCAAGAGCTGTCCCACTTGTTTACGGGTTAATCGAAGTAACTTGAGGAAATTACCTCCTGGAGGGCGACCTTTAGCAAAAAGGCCATTTTCGAGTATACAAATTGATTTTACAGAACTACCTAAAGTGGGGCGAATCAGATACCTTTTGGTGATAGTAGACCACCTTACACACTATGTGGAGGCGTTCCCAACTACTAGAGAAACTGCCCAAACTGTAGTAAAAACCTTGCTAGAAGAAATAGTACCAAGGTATGGGGTACCTGAGACTATAGATTCAGATAAAGGGCCACATTTTACCTCAAAGGTAACACAAGATTTGGCTAATGCACTGGGAATAAAATGGGAACAACATACCCCCTATCATCCTCAAAGCTCGGGACGGGTGGAGAGAATGAACGGGGAAATAAAAAAGCAATTAACCAAACTAGTATTAGAGACCAAGTTGTCGTGGGTAAAATGTATACCGCTGGCCCTATTGAATATTAGGACACAGCCACGAGCAGATATAGGACTATCTCCTTTTGAAATGTTGTATGGGATGCCTTATAACCTAGAAAAGGTACAGTCAAATCCCAATATAAGTGATCAGAATTTGAACCACTACTTAACTATTTTGGCAAGGTACAGAAAAAGTTTGTGGGAAAAAGGAATGTGGGCCCAAAGACCTCCTTTGGATCTTGTATTACATCAGGTACAGCCCGGAGACTGGGTGCTAATCCGAAGTTGGAAGGAAAACCCGTTAACACCGAAGTGGGAAGGGCCCTACTTAACGCTGCTCACCACAGACACCGCCATAAGAACAGCTGAGAAGGGGTGGACTCACGCAAGCCGAATAAAGGGGCCAGCAGACCCTTCCAACTTCCCGAAGCACCAAACCCCTCATTGGGAAGTGAAAGGACCAACAAGCGACCTAAAGTTGGTACTAAAGAAAGTCACACCTAAGACACCGAAGGAAGCAGATGAACTATGAGGACATTTAGGTGGGGGATGATAACCCTCGTAACTAGCAGCAAACTAGTTGACGAGCGAGGCAGAAGGATAACTAGTGGGGAAAAGGAATCTCGCAAAATAAAAGCACCAATAAGACTTACAGACAATGACCAAAAGGGCCAAAAGACTCGGGATGGAAAAAGGGAAAAATTCGATAGGCCAGTTAATCCTACCCACTATGCTGGCAGTGGATTTTACTCAGCTCTAGCATTGATGTTAACAATATGGTTATTAACTAAAGAAGCACAAGGAGATAGTCAGGCAAGTCATGAACCCTTTAAATGGTCTTTAATAAGATGGGAAGATCAACAAGTGATTCAAGTGGTAACCACCTCAGGAAACCCCCCCTCCTTCGCCTGCCAACTCTGTGACATCATTAGGATACGTCCGTGTCTAAATAAGAGAGGGTTTTACTTTTGCCCAGCTTCTAACCCAGGAAAGTCGTATTGTAATTACCCTGGGGAATATTACTGTGGGTATTGGGGCTGTGAAACAGTGGCTTACCCATTCTCACCAGGAGGAACAAAGGATGAATATATCATAGCAGAATGGCGACCTACAGGTTGCACCCCTCCGCGTATAGAATGGAACACCGGGATAGCGGATGCGGGAAATTGTCAGGGGATAAGAATTAATGTTACAAAAGAAAAAGTGGGGGATGTTGCCTGGACAATTGGAAAAACCTGGGGAGCCAGACTATGGGAACCTGGAAAAGACCGAGGGGGGCACTTCCTCATAAAACGAGAACCTATTCCCCACGATCCAGACCCCATAGGGCCAAACCCAGTAATTATTGGGGAAGAAGAAAAAGGGGAATGGAGTAACAATAATTTAACAGTAGAAAACTCTACCGAGGGATGGAATCAATCAGAAAATTAGCCAGTCACTGCCCAATCCACTCGGAAATATAGTGCACTGTGGAAAGTAATGCAAGCTACATTTGAGGTCCTCAACAGTACATACCCAAATTTAACCAAGGAGTGCTGGTTGTGTTATGCCGTTAATCCACCTTTTTATGAAGCTTTGGGAACCACAGCACAATCTAGGAGGGTTAATGGAAGTAATCCACGAGAGTGCTTCTGGAAGAAAGGCAAGGAGCAAACTCCAGGAATATCAATAGCCCAAGTAACAGGGAAAGGAAGGTGCATAGGGAACATACCTCCTGACAAAGAGCACCTGTGTCAAGTAAAGATGTCAATCACTAGACCCGAAAAACCAGCTCAATGGCTTCTCCCCGTGGTAAATACTAAATAGGTATGTAACATGCTAGGGGTGACCCCATGTATATCCATACCTAACTTTAATGAATCATTTGAGTATTGCATACAAGTTATGATAGTTCCCCGGATCATATACCACCCAAAGGAGTACGTATATGAACATCAGATCACTCCTGAACATCATTTATCAAAAAGAGAACCTTTTACGGCTACGGCTCTTACAGTGGCCGTACTATTGGGCATAGGGAGAGCAGGAGTGGGAACAGGAGTAGCTTCTTTAGTAAACCAGCAAAAAGGCATGAGAGACTTAAGGGTCTCAGTAGACGAGGATCTGAGTAGAATTGAAAAGGCAATAGATGGACTAGTCAAGTCAGTAAGATCCCTATCGGAAGTCGTGCTTCAGAATAGACGAGGATTAGACTTGCTGTTTTTGCAACAAGGGGGGTTATGTGTAGCATTACGAGAAGAATGTTGCACATACGCAGATCATACTGGAATAGTAATAGATACAATGGCAGAGCTTAGAAAACAATTGGAGCAACGTAAAAAGGAAAGAGAAGCCCAACAAAGCTGGTATGAATCATGGTTTAACCACTCTCCTTGGCTTACAACACTCCTGTCCACTATAGCAAGACCTCTAATATTATTCATTTTAACATTAACCTTTGGGCCCTGTATTTTCAACAAACTAATCAACATAGTAAAAGGAAGATTAGAGGCTGCCCACCTCATGCTCATTAGGGCGAAATATGAACCTTTAAATGGAGGGGAGACAGAGAACTACCTGGAACTCAGCAGAAGGGAGCTTGCCAGATTCAGTGAACAAAAAGAGTAAAATAGAAAAAGGGGGGAATTGTGATGGGAACATGACCTTTTTGTTCACTAGAAACAGGAGGGGACATAATGTAAATAAGTAACTGTCAGTTGGAATGTGATAACTAGCTTGCGAAATTGAGAAACCGCAAAAGACAAACACTGCCGAGCTAATCAACCACAAGTTGTTCCAAGTCTTAGGTTCAGGGAGAGAGCACGGAGGAAGACCATCAAGGACCTTCATCAGCGACCACCAGAAGGCAGAAGAAGACCCCCCTAGCAACAAAGCGGACATGCGCAGAGAGACACTGGAAGGAGGAAGGATGGGGGCATAAAAGAGGAACGGAACAACCCTCGGCACGGCAGTTGGTGGAGCGGTGACTCCCCTGTCACCCAGCGCTGCAATTTGCTTTCTCTTTTCTGTAATAATAAATTGGCTTTGAATTGGCTCAGATGGCCTGTTGTGCTCATTTATAACACTACTGGGCCAAATAATCCAACCACAGGGGTAATGTCCTGGATACAGAGCATTGTACTAAAGTTCCACATTAATATTTTGCAGTATTGACTTCCTCAAAGTTTCTGTCTCTCAGAGAATTTTCCCAACAGGCATACTTTTTAAAATTTAAAATTTAAAATTTAAAGCAGAAAGTAAAATGGCACCAACATTTTTCTAACTGTCAAGTATTATAATTTTTCTTTTTTTTTTTACTTAAGAGTGGCCAAGCAAGGAACTTACAAACATTAATCTTAATGTTAAAATCACATAGATCCTTACCCTGTTTGCAATCTTTTCCTTCAGAAAAGGCTTGATGATTGCAAAAATGCCTTTGAATATACGAGGCTCATTTATTATGTTAACAGCCTTTATTCGAATGGGGAATCCATCCTAAAGGGTAAAGAAAATTTTTATAAAGCAGTTTAAAAAACATTTGCCATCTTTCTCTTTTTAAAATTTTCTGAGACTGACTGCCAGTACAACCCACTGGCTCCCCACCTTTAATCTGAGGTACCAACATAAACCAATACAAAAGAAATTCAACTTGTTACAGGGAGCAGTCCTAGGATGACATCTTGTGAGCATAAAAACAAAATCAAGATACAAGAAAACCCTCAAAAAATACACTTCTGTCAGTAAATCCTCATTTCTAATGTTGATGCTTATCTCCCCTGACAAAAACACTTAGACAACCCCTGTCCTTTGGGTATGCCCAGCCTTGACAAGGATGCAGTCACAAAGTGATGTCTGCAGCTCCTGAGGAGTGCACCACACTCCGTGCCAGAGCAGGCTGCTTCTAACAGTGTGTCCAACAAGATCTGGTGCCCAAGACACTAAAATGTGTTTTTATGTGAAGAAGGAATCAAATATCACTAGGAAACACTGTTTCCCATACAGGCCAGTTTAAAACAACAGCTTATTATGGGATTTTTGCTGCAGAAATATTTGCAGAAATATTTTTCATAGGCAAAAGCTCATGATCAGCACTTCAGGACTCAGTGAGGCTTCTCTCCTCTATAATGAGCTCTGCTTGGAGTGAAAAGCAGACAAGAGGCACTGCTGGAATATTTTTCTCCATAGGAACGTCAGTGAATTACCTCATCTTTACAGCAGCTGCAGCTCAGCAAGGTTGATGCAACACATTCATATTCCACCATACTTTTATGTCCTTCCCCAAGTCCAGCTATTGTTTTGTGAATATCTTCCAGTAGGAACTGCAGGACACCCATGGCTTTATTTGTACAAATTAAATATGGGCTGACAGTTAAATGACACATTTAGATCATAATGTAAAGGAGTGAGTTCTTATAAAGGCCCTCCTTAATTCAGCAGTCTCATCTCCTACACTCCCCTGATTCACCCTGGCCTTCCTGATCCCATGGATACAATAAAGGATGTAACCAGCTCAGGCCACGACAAAATGAACCCATTAAGAGAAGTTTTCTCATCTCACTCCTCCAGACTGTATCAAAATCATCAGACCTTTGGCCACTTTGGCCAGGCTACTCCCAAGTCCTTTCCCCTTCCCATTTTGTCCAGCTTCACTGTGTTTATATCCTTGCTCTAACTTGCTCTCCAACACTTTCCTTCCACACATCCAGGCAGAGCTGTTTTCATTATGTCTCTTGTGCTAAAGAAACCTCTGTCTTCAGGGCATGGATGGAAATCCTCCTCAAATCAAACCTATTCAAAAGTCCTCCTAATATTTTTGCAGCAGCACTTGAGCTGGAACCTGCACTTGCCCCATGGTTGGCTCCATCTCAGCTGACAGGAACCATTTAAATATCAGGCCATTTCCTCACTGTCTCATCCCTAACTGTAATTCTCTGCTCTCTTCCTTCCTTACCATTACCTAGCAGAACTGCTTTTGTCTGCTCCAACTCAAAGTCTGCACTTCTAATGCAAATTTAGTTTTAGGGATGCAAAAGTCAAAAAAAGGGGCAAGTGAGGTAAGTTTGCTGTAAGGGTGTGAGAAACTGGTTGGGCAGAGACTTGTTTAACTCTGCCAAGATGATGACATTCGTGGTGACATAGTCAAGAACTCTACACACAGAGGCAGTCATTTACAATGCACAAGCTTATTTTCCCACCAGTTCAGGTCTTACCTGAAGAATTCCAATCACTTTTTTGGCTACAAAAGGACCAAAATGAGACGCCTTAGATAAGCTGACTCCTTTGTAGTCTGCCAGGATTACAATTCCATTCACCTGGGTCTCTTCGGACTGAATGAGTTTTTCTAAGGTTAAGTATATGGCACGAATGTTCTCAGTAATCGGATAATTACTGGGTGTCCATCTGTCTGAGGTTACAAGACAGGGATGGTAAGTCGGAGAGTGAAGATAAGCTAACAATACACATTCCAAAAAAACTGATTTTCTGTTTTCCTGGACTCAAAAGTTAGTCTGCATAGCCACAGTTCTAGTTCAGAGCAGCCTTTCTTAAGCAAGAGGGAAATGGCAACTCATGTTTACTTCAGGGAGCAAAGGCAATGGTTTTAAGAACCCCGTTCTCCACCCAGCACAGCTCATTAATAGCAGTTTCAGCTCAGAAAGAAGGCAGGTAAATGGAAAAGAGGAGAATGAATGGAGAGAAATTTACAGCAAGCCTGGCAGCACCAAAAGCACATGAAAGACTCTGATCATTTACACAGGAGTCAGAGCTATAGGCTTCTCTCTCTGCTTATTGAAAAAACAAATTACAAGCTTCTAAGGGTAGGCCAGCAGACCTGTTTCAATCTGAGTGACTGCATAATAATTTTCCTTGAATTTTCCTAATATTTCATCGACCCACCTCACTGCATTTCCATTTTGCCATGACCACAGCTATTGCTGACACAGGAAAAGAAACTGGAATAATGCCGGCTAAGGACCAGCACATCCCTTCCCCAGTCAGCTTTTCAGATCTGAGAGAGCCCACATACTCTGTGCAAGCCACCAGTGTTCACAGCAGAGCAGGGACAGGCTTTTGGCCCAGACACACCTCGAGGACAGGGAACAGACACACTCAGGACTGAGTACCTGGGCGGATGCAGACGACATGACGTCCCTGCGGGTCCCGGTGGGGCAGCACAGTGACAAAGCCTGACTCCAGGACAGGCTTTATGGCAGATGGCTTCAGGTTACTGAACACCTCTGGCCAGGTCCTCCTGCAGGTGTGGTAGTTCACCAGGAGCTGAAGCGCTCGATCGTAATCAAACTTCCTGGCTCGGAGGAACCTCAGCAAAAAAGCATCGTCCAGGCAGGTCCCCAGGGAGGGATAGTCCTTGCACACCATATCCCGCAGCGCCTGCACGTCACGCAGCCTCCATTCAGGCTTCTCCTGGAGCTCCTCCCGGGCTTTGGTAACAAGATCAGGAGACAGGGTGCAAACATACTTTGGCCGGTCTGGCAGGAGCTCACTGTCTGATGGAGACCCTGCTGACGGACTTGTCCTGGTGCAGTCGCTCTCTCCTGACATGATGCAGCAGGAATCTGTCAAGAAACAAGTGCTGCACGTGACAAACAAACCCACAGACTCACAACCAGAGTGACTGTTTACATATTTTTTATGTTTCCTCTGTTTCCTAACTGAAGACGCTGCCTTTCCAAGAACCAGTGCTACAGTCAAGGCACACTGCTCATTTTAATTCTCCTACCAGGATTAGAAAGTGCAAGTGACTCTAATCTCTTTAGCCTACCTAGCAGGTGGAATTGCTGCCTTGGAATGAAACCTAACCAATTAAAGTTAAAATACAGAATCACACAGCTTCACTGCAAAACACAGAATTTAATTTAACGTTTATTTCCTATGTCCAGTTGAAAACTAAAGAAAAGCAAACATCCCAGTTTGTCATGATTCTCACATTTGGTCAAATTACGCCCTGTTCTGAGAAGCTCCCCCATCTAAGCCCAGCCAGCCAGGCATTTTCCTTAACTCCTCAGGCAAACATATTCACTTACCAGCACCTCTGCCCAGGTGAATGTTTTGAGCAATTCAGGAGGAGCATTCAGAAATGCTGCAGTGCCCAGACTGGATGAGCAGGTAAGAAAATTGCTTATGCCAAGCACTGCATGGATACTGAGGCTAGCTTAATCTAGCTTGAACTTTTCAGTACAATGCCAATATGTCTGACTTGGGAGCTTAAATTCCAAATCCAGTCACAAGTGGACAGAGATGAGTAAAAATTAGAAAATCACGAGCCTGCCGTAATTCCTGTAGCTGGACCTGGCAGTGCAACACGGCTTTATTTGCTGAGCTGTCCGCACTCAGTCACGCACAGCCCATCACACCGCCCCGGGCGATCACTCGGAACCTGCCACAGGGACACCTGGCACCCGTACCGCGGGCACCCCCTCAGCGCCGCCCGAGCTCCCACCCCACCGGGCCCGGCACCGCTCCCAGGGAGCGCTGGACCCCGGGGCGCAGCCGGGGCTCGGCAGCGCCCAACCCCGCCGGGGCCCGACAGACTCCCCCGGCTCCGGGCCCGCACCCGCCCGTGCCGGAGCTCCCGGGCCACAGACCCCAGGCCCCACAACCCGACTGTACCGGAGCCCCCAGGGCCGCAGCCCGCCCGCACCGGAGCTCCCGGGCCCCGGAGCTCCCAGGCCCACAGCCCGACTGTACCGGTGCTCCTCGTCCCGCAGCCCGCCCGTGTTGGAGCTCCCGGCCCCGCAGCCCCCAGGCCAGGCCCATAGTCTGCCCGTACCGGAGCTCCCGGTCCTGCAGGTCCACACCCGCCCGTACGGGAGCTCCCGGGGCCCCGAAGCTCCCAGGCCCACAGCCCGACCGTACCGGAGCTCCCGGGCCCTGAGCCCACCTGTGTCGGAGCTCCCGGCCCCGCACCCGCCCGTGCCGGAGCTCCCGCGGAGCAGCCGCGTCCCGGAACGGCCCCGGAACGGCCCCGGAACGGCCCCGGCCGCTCGGAAGTGACGCGGGCGCCGCGCCTGCGCCATGGCCCCGGGGCGGGCCGCGGCCCCGGCAGGTGCGGAGCGTGCGGCGGGGCCGCGCTCGGCCTGGGCCAGCCCCGGGACTGCCGCCCTGTGTGCCGTCTGCTCCGTGCAGCGAGAGCCAGCCCGGGGATGCTCCCCGAAGGGACGCTGCCCTTCAGTTCCAGAATTTTATACTTTTTAATATACATTTATATATATATATTATTTTTTTATATATATTTATATATATACATATATATACTCATATATATACACATATATATACACACGTGTATGCATACATCTACACAAATATATGTAAATAATACGCATATTTTACAAAGCGCATTTTATAAATACATTTTACACTTGTAAAATACATTTTATATGTATAGAATGTATTCTTGTAAAAATATTTTTATTATGCATATATGTGTGTATATATACATATGTATGTGTGCATATACATTCAAATACACTTGTGTGTACACTTACATGTACATACGGATATATGTAACATGTGTATATAATATATATTAATTGGGTGTATAATATATAAGTGTGTATATAATATATGTAATTATATAACACAGCACGTCTATGTATATAATCTATAGATTACATAGTATTTTTATATAGTATATAATCACATATATAAAGATACTTTTAAAATATGTATATGTATATATACACAGGTATATGTATAAAAATATACATGTATAAAATTACATATATATATATATATAAACATATATATTTTCTATACAAATATGTATCCCAGGGCTCTCCCTGCCAGCCTGAGCTGGTGTGGGATCATTCAATGCAGGCTCCAGGCAAGCACAGCTGGGTGTAAACAGGGCCTGAGAGATGTCCCGGCTGTATCCTGGATTTAAACCACAACAGAAGGACTAACTGTTCATAAAAAGAGAATTTGGGGTAGCTCGGCTTTGCGTTGGTTTCTGACAGGACAGAAAACCGTGTTATCCCACAGGAGGTGGTGATGGCTGGCCTGGCCGCATGGGATTTGTAATAAAAAGGATGAGGATGGTCACTGCCAGGTTTGCTGCATTAAAAGCGCTCTCGCGGAGCGCTGGGGAGGGGGAATGACTTTAACCCGCAGCTGGAGGGACACACAGGCTGCTTGCAGAGGGCTCAGCATCCTGCGGGGATGCCCCTGGGGCGCGGTGGTTTCCCTGTCTCTCCTCCCGCTGTAACCGTGCTCTCTCTCAGCCGGGAGAGGGAGTCGAGGACAGCCGGATAAAGAGCGGGAGCCCCGGGAGGCACAGCAGGAAGCAGGGCCCTGCTGCGGCGCACAGGCTTCAGCTCCGCTTTGTTTCTCTGCCCAGGGTTCACCCTTCCGAAGTAGAAAAGGTTTCGGTGGCGCTGTACCTGGTAAGGGAGATGGCAGCAAATGGTGTGTCACCGGTGTCACCTGCAGAGAGCTGCTCCAGGGAAGGGCAGTGCATCCAGTCCAGCCTGTGCTCATGGTCAAGCCCAGACCCGGGTGCAGCCTGGCAAGCTGGTGCCTGAAGCTGGGTCCAGTTTGGATCTGAGTAAACTGGACCTGTTTGTGATGTTGCTCCGTGCCCTTTCCAGTGGATTTGTGGGATAAATGAGGTTGGGAGGGACCTCAGGAGGACAAGAGATTTTGTATTGCTTCCATTTGCATTCATACAGCTCCTGGGCACAGAGACCTGACAGAAGCAGCCAGGTGGGACCTGGAGTCCCAGGTGTGTGCTGTGGACAGGGATCTGTGGCCTGCCAGCTGAAGGGATGACAGAATTTCCTGGATCACCTGATCCACCTAATTGCTGATCTGAGAAAAGGCTTCAAAACACCAAACAGCTGGGAAGTACTGGAGCTGCAAACAGGAATTTATGCTAAAGGTTGCAAAATCTGCTTGGAATTTGTACCTCTCAAACAAGAGAAGAAAATTTAGCAGGGAGGCGACAGTTCCAGTCCTGACTGGATAATGGCTGCTGCAACAGGGTGTTAGGAGTGAGCAGGGGTGGTTGAAAGGAGTGACATGTGAAACAAGCTCTGTTTTAGGGAACAAGAAGGGCAGGAAACGAGGGAGAATCGGTAACAATCAATTGAGAGAAATGGACAATGAAATTAGAATCAGAGCAAGAGCCTTAGGCAGGTGAGAGAGAATGATGAAGGAAAGTAGAAGTGAGGATACTGAGCAGTGAGTGAAATATAATCTGGAGATGGCCCCCAAATGAAGTGACTGCCTTACCTCAGCTTTTTTTATGTGGAGAATGTTGAACTTATGGAGCGCAGTGGGTGGTGAATGGAAGTGAGGGGGTTCAAACATCAAGCCAAGTTGTTGGGGGAGTTTGAAATACTGGCACAGGAAATCACAGGAACTGTAGCAAGAGCTTCTGTAATTTACTCTTCCTGGTGTTGGCATCCTGTGACTAGAAACCAGTAAAGGCAGGACCTGTCTATAAGGAAGTAAAAGCTAAAAACTGAAAACAAACATCCAGGAACTGACAGTCCCAGGAGATGTCATAGCTGTAGCCTGAATTAAAATTCTCCTTCCTAGGAAGGAGAGTTTTGTCCTTGCCCACTGCATCAGAAGGGAGAAGGACATGCTGCACCACATGCCCACAACCCTCCCCAGCTGAGAGGAGATGAACCCCACCAACTCTGCCACTCCATCAGGTCCAAACCTACAGTCTGTGCAGGAGTTTTCATCAGGAGTTGTGTTGTGACCTTGGGAACCACACCCAGAGCCCCGTGGGGAGTCCAGCCCTCCTCATGTTCATCTCTCCTATCACATGTGATTCATACCTTTCTCAGCTCCGCTCCTGGGTGCTCCCATGCTCTGCCGTTGTGTTATAAATGAGTGGCTGTTGGTGTTGGTTGATATTTAATGAACTCTATGTAATACTCTTTACTTGTTTACTTATCCGATCCCAGTCTTAATACCCAGCCTGGGAAAGTTATCTTGGCTTCTTTAAGCTTTTCCACCATTAGCAATAAACGTTTTACAGTCTTGGCAAGCTGAGGCTGAAAAGCGAGAGCATGACTTCAAACAGCACTGCTCACAGAGAAGGCTTTAAACTGATATTAAACCACTAAACTGTGCAAACCTAACAGTCCTGTCATAAAGATAATCCCTGAGCAGTTCAGTCCAGGAGGGGCTCTGGTGCTTGGGTTGCAGGTGGAACTTCTGGGCCCCACAAACTACAGAACCCTTTTGGGCAACTCAGTGTCAGAGCAGGGAGCCATTCATGCTGCAGTGCTGGACAAGCTCTGCCTGAGTGCCAGGGCCTCCATCTCAAAGCTGAGCTGCTCCTCCTGCACCAGTGCAGCAGAATGGGAAGGGCTGTAGGGGAGCAGCACTCCCTACAAATCACCCCAGGCAGGGCCATGCCAGGCTCCAGACATGGTGCCTGGCTGTGATACAATCCAGCAGCTCTGCTCTGTGCTCAGGGATGAAGTGACTAAGAAAATATGCCCTAAATGACCGTAAATATTCCACTCAAAGCCTGGAAGTGTGCATCCTCCAGAACAGGCTTCTGTGCCTGCTGTCACCCTGCGTGGGGTGGTGTGGGGAGGGGATCCCACAGATGGGAGCCTCAGGGGGGAGCAGCACACGCCGGGCTGCAGGGGACCATCCCTGCTCTGCTCAGGCCCTCCCCACGCACAGATGGCACACCAGACCCACACACACAGCTATGGAAACAGGCACTAATGTGCAAATGCACACAAATCTGTAGCATCTGCTGCCAGAGCAGTTGTACACAGGCAGGCACCACCACCCGGGTACACAAAGCTGTGCTAAGGTGCTGACAGACCCCCAAAAAGTCAAGTGTGTGGTGGGACACAGACACACAGCCTTACCCCGCCCAGGCTTTGAGGGAAGAATTCCCCTCTCCTTGGCTTTACCAGCTTCAGGATGAGCAGTGTTTTTGCAAAAGCTTGGTGAGGAATGTGCTTGGCAGGACCTCTGAATGTTTTAAATATTACAGGATTTCTGCAGTTTAATTTTATAGAATCACAGAATAACTTCGGTTGGAGGGAACCTTTAAAGGTCATCTAGTCCAACGCCCAGTTTGCTCTGAACTGAGCATTTCCTCTCACTGCATTTCATGATGGAAGGAGAGCAGCTGTCTCTGAGGCAGGATGGGTCCCTGGCAGGATTAACCCTTGAAGGGGCTGTGATGGGGCTGCCCTGGGACCTTGGCAGCTGCTCCTTGCAGCCCCTCCATGGCACAGTCTGCAGCTGTCAGCAACACTCAGGTTTGTTCCTGCAAGAAACCAGTTGGTAAATGGTGGAGGATACTTTCCAGGGGCAGAATGAGGTTGGACTGGGTGCTCCAGCTCTTGGGGTTTTCAGCCTGGGGTTCATCAGAAGCCCATATGTCAGTGGGAAGGAGTGAAGCAGGGCTGGGTTTTACAGTAACCCCTGAGTGGTATCTTTGCACATCTTTGGGGTGAAGGAATTCAGCTGCATGGTGTGAGGGGAGGAGCTGCATGCAAGAAATAGTAGGATTTCAACAGAAAATTAAGAGCCTGGAGTGCTGGAGCTGTCTCCACTGCCTCCTCAATGAGTGTGCAGCACAGCAGGTCTCCCATGTGCTCTCCCAGGTGAGGAAGTGCCACTCTAATCCCACACCTTAGAATATGGTTAAGAGGGGGCTAAAACCCACTGAGAAGTGAGGATCCCAATGGCTGTTCTTTATCTGTGCTGGAAGTGCTGTAGGTCTGAGTCAGGCGTTCTGGGTTTGGCACTAAGGTTTCTCTTTGCTGCTTCTGCCTCAAGCTTTTTTCTCAGTGGCTTGTCCCTGCAAATCAGCTCTGAGTGGATTGCAGGATATGTTTGAGCCAGTGTGCTCCATGTCAGTGGTTAATGGTAAGTAACCCATCAGCAGGATTAATTAAAAAGTGTTTTTAAGGCACAGTGGTGTTTTGGAGAGTCCTGGAAAGGAGCAGAGCATTAGGAGTTACTTTATTGTAATGACTTTCCCAGTCATTGAGGGGGAACCTGTCCTGTTCCAGCCAGTGCTGACACCTGCCTTGGCAGCAGCAGAGAGGAGTTCCTGTCTGACCTGGGATGCTTTCTGCGGTGGGTGTCTATCCAGGCATTCCCTCAGGCACCTCTTGTGCTGTTTCTTGCACCCAGAGCAGTTTCTAGGAGGAGCTGGAGAATCACAACAGCTCCCCCACACCCCTGATCTGGTGTGGGGTCCCCCAGGCTCACAAGGGGTCCCTGGTCTTTGTGAATCCGTGGGGTCCCAAGGGACTGCAGGTTCCAGCCAGGCAGAGCTGCCAGTTGGGAGGGGTTGGAGTGGAGCCTGGCAGCAGAACCCGGGGCTTTGTGTAGCCCACAACTAAACCCCAAGGTTAGGGTGCCTTCAGGCCTCTGGAAGGCTTTGGTCACGATCACGCAAGCCTGGCATCACTCCAGACCCAAAGCCAGAGCAAGGCTGGGAAATCCAGTTCCCAAACCACCTCCTTTCCCAGACCTGGGTTAGACTCAGAGCTCTTCTTCTCCTGGGTTTGAACTGGAGCACCCTGTTGGTCCCAGCAGCCTCTTCCCTCTCACAGGACACTGAACTGCAGGTTGTGACTGCAGGGTTGTTTGTGCCAAGCTCTCCTGCTCACTCTCACATAACGAAGCTGACAATATATTGCCATTTTTATTGGCCTGGCTGGCAATTTTTCAGGTGCTAGGTGTGTTTATGATTGCCAGGGTCACACCTCACTTTGGAATGGGGAGAAGGATTTTAGACATACCCACACCTTACCATTCCTCCTCCAGCCTCTCTGAATGCAGTGTGTGGCCTGAGTTCCCCAGTTGGTTGGTGATATTTGCATTAAGCCCAGAGGGAACAGGCCAGCCTGGCACATGGAATTGCCTGGCTCAGCAGTGCCACGTTGCTGAGCTGTCCCTGCTGCCTCTTGGTGTTCATGACTATCTGTGCCTGTGTGTGCACTTGTAAGTTTAATAGCAGCAATAGTTGCTTTTTGTCAGAGATGATATGCAGGTCATAAAACTTGTTTGTCTTTTTCCCCCCCACCCCCACTAAGATATGAAAGCTGTGGAAAAGGCTCCAAAGCCTGCTGGCTCTTTCAGATGGAACTTATATAAGGAATATGAAAAGAATGCATTTCATAGTGGCCAGAGGACCTAAAAATACCACTTTCACAGATCTTTGCTTGGACATGATGAAAAGATTCCGCAGCTGGAGATGGTGCTCTCCAGGAAATCATCCCTAGGCTGAGCTGCAGGCACAGAAAGCTCTTGTGTTCAAAAACAATGTCAGGGAAGTTGTGTGTCAAAGGCCAATCCTCAGAGCCATCTCCAGTGACATGGGACACGGCCAGCAGGCTCCAGGGAACCCAGCAGGATAAAACACAGCCCACGAGTGGCAAGACCAGTGTTTCAGGGTGATTCCAGGCTGGAGTGACAAAAGAGGTGAGAGTTGGGATTGAGGTTGCCAATTAAGGACAAGGTTGCTTCTGGAACAGTTCATGGAGGTTTTTTCCCAAGTGAGCTGAATCCAGCAATAAGAAAGCTCCTGTAGGAAGTGCACTGATTTAAGATTAACCAGGTAAAGGGCAACCTTGATAGAGCAGTTCATGGGAAGGAGTCCAGGAGAATTTATTGCTTCCAAGATTTGATATTACATATAGGGAATTTTTAGGGCATATACCCAGGTAAAACCAACCATGAATCACAGCAGAGGAGTCCCAGGTTTTGGTTTTTTTTATTTTACAAAGAATGAACGAAGTCCTTTTCTTTCCCCTGACTGGACTAACCACTCAGTCCTGTGTGTGCTGGAAGCTCATGTCCTGTGCCTGCCTTTGGTTCCCTTGTTCAGGCTTTCAGCAGTGCTGCTGGGGCTCTGGATCATCACAGGTGCACAGATTGTGAGGGCAGGTTATTTGAGATCTGTCCTGTTCTCCCAGGTCCTTGACTCAGAGTGGAGACAGGCTCTAAATGCTGTCTCCACACAGCCCTCAAACACAGTCTGGATCTCATCCCTGCATCTCATCCCTGCTGGCAGTTTTCACCAGCATGGTGAACTGGGACAGTGTTTGTGCTGATGGGATGGAAAATCAGGCTGCTTCTCATCCCTTGTACCTAGGATGAGACTGCCCACCTTGACTCTCATCAGAGGCAGAAGATGGGGGAAGATGAGGGCCAGCTCCTGCAGACCAGAGCTGGAAATGCTGGGTGTTGTTCCTTCCCAGAGCCCTAATCTTTACAGCCATCTACACCTCTCTCCTCTCTTCCTGTTCTCTTCCTGGGTATGCTACAGCTGAGCACAGCCTCCCATGGTCAGAAAAGCAGGTCATTAAGAGCCTTCTCTAATTGCCAGTGTATTTCTTCACCTTTACAGCCAGTGATAAATTGATTTTCACTTGATCATCTTACTGTGCCCCATAGGCTCAGTGTGGCTCCCACCTGCTGCCAGCAGTAGGGTGGCTGTGTTTGAAACAAAGGACAATCACTCACCCCAAAGTGCTCAGAAATTACCTTTGAAAATGAACATGTTTGAAATGTGAATAATATATTTTAGCTTCCTTTGCTTGGCTTTCAGAATGTGGTTACTTCAAGCCTTTAAGCTCCCTGGAATCATGAAAGTAAATATTTATTCTCCATGTTTGTTTTTCTTTTAATGAAAATTTGGATTGTCATTCAATCTTATGATTCCAACACACGTGGCTTCAGGACAGACACACTGGGCTTGCCAGGAAATAGTGACAGCTGGCAACAGCATCAAACACTTGTTTGGGCTTTTTTCTCCATACACATATGCTTTGTGCTCAGACCAACAGGGAGGTTAGCCCCTTGATTTAAAATAAATCCTCCCAGAAGAAAGAAATCCATCTGTCTGGGAAAAGTTAGAAATATTTTTGAATTTATTTTTCTTTTTTTTTCCTTTTTTTTTTTTAATGAATACAAACTCTTGTGAAGAAATATTCTTCTGTTTCTATTGGAAGGCAGAAACCAGCAAAAGTTAATATACAATATTGAGGAACACTTGGTGCAAATGGACCAAAAAGGATTCCCCACAAAGTATGTCTACGTACAGGAAAAAAGGTTGCTGCAGTTGGAAAAGACAGCCTGCTTATTACAGGGTTGGGGTTGGGGTTTTTTTTGTATTTAATCTCCCAATTATAAATAATCAATGTGATTTACAAAATAATTTACAGAAAATGATTGGATTCATCATTGCAATAAATTACTTGGTACGATGCCACCAGCATTGGCACCATGCAACACCTCTGACACCGCCAGCACGAGGTGTTTCATTTTGCATTGGAAATCAGGGGACACAGCTGCAGCTCCTCTGGCTGAGCTGGCTCAGATTTATCCCCACCAGAGACCTCCTGGCAGCCGTGGGGCCACCATCCTCATCCTCCCGAGAGGCCAGCAGTGGCTCAGGCCTGCCATGTGCAGGGCTCGGCAGCTCCAGCCCTGCTGGCACCTGGAGCAGGAGGGCTCCTTTCCTGCTTTCAGCTGTAAACCAAAGGTCACATCTGCAGGGTTTTGGCACAGGCAGGCACAGAGGAACAGGGACAGGGGCAGGAGGGAGCAGAGCAGGGGGCAGACCCAAGGCTGGGGCAGAACCAAGGGCCTTGGGTGAGACAGGGTTATTGCTGGACCTCTGTCGCTTTTCTCTGCAGGACCCAAATAATTGTATTTTTGAGGCTGGTGCTCTCAAACACTCTGAGGCCTGAAGGAGTCATAACGAAATCTTATCATGTTATAAAGACCTATAAATCTGTTATCAGCCACTCACTCGAAGCTGAAGGAGTGGCACTGCATTGAAGCAGATTGTGTGGCATATCTTGGCATTAAGTTGGGTCTGAACTGAGATCCTGGGTCCCAATGCTCTCAGCACTTAGAAAGCCCAAGACCTTGGTCCAATCTGTGAGGCTCAAGCTCTTCTCACCCCATGGGTCTTTCCCCTTCCTACATCTTTCCCCCACTTCCTTCCAAATAGGCATCCAGTGGCCTTCTCACTGCTGACAAGCAGTAGTTGGCCAGATATTTGGGCAGTGCTGCCAGCCTGTAAAGGGGTGAACCCATCCCATTAGCTGAAACCTCTGGAATCCCAAGGTCCCTCTAATTTCCAGAAGGCAGTGAGTGGTGCAAGGGAAGGGCTTGGCAGTGGTTGCCTCTCTGAGCATTGTGGTGAGGGCAGGCATGGCACAGAAATATCAAAACCCCTCAAGAAGCAGAGGGATCCAAATAGTGGAGTATCTTGGTGGGCCAGACTTTGCCCCAGCATCAGCTGAAAAGATTTGTTAGGTCTGGCTGGGGGGCTCAGTGTGCTGGTGGGTGACACCACGCAAAGACCTGGGACTAGCCAAGGCTGAGGAGCAGTTCTGGCAGTGCTGCCTGGGCAAGCCCCATGTGCTTCACCTGCTGTGGTGCTCCTGGGGGAGCTTCCACCTCCACCAAGTCTGGCTGGACTGGGGACTGTCGGGGAGGATGGCATGGCTGTGGGAGGAAAGCCCTCCACTCCCATGGCACAGGGAATTGCTCATTCACAGGGTCTGATGTGGCTGAACCAGTGCTGAGGTGGCAGTGGGGCAGCAGCCTGTCCCCAGCCAGTCACTGCCACCTCCCCGCAGAGGGAGGCAGGAATCTGGCCCTCCTTACAAGGACTGAGGGTTTTGGCAAGGCTTCAGCCTTAGTTCTGGGCCTCTGGGGCTGCCCATGGCCCGTGCTGTCCGTAGCTGCAGGAAGACACCTTCTGGTGGTGGTCAGTCCAAAAAGCAAGTCCGTGTGTCCGTGCCCAGGGACGTCTGGATGGCTTCTCTTTTCACAGTGGCAGAGTCCTTTTGGGCTTTTCTCCCACACGGTGCACTGAAGGGGGCTGGCTGGGTGGGGGCTGCTAGATGACCTCCTGTTTTGTGATGGCAGGCTGTGGGATGGACGTGGGCTGCTTCGCCACGGTTGCAATGGCTCCAGGCAGCAGCTTGTACTGCTCTGATCCTGAGCCCGCAGGTGGAGAAGGCTGTGGAGTTTCTGGAGTAGCTGAAGAGAGAGAAACCAAATTAAAAGAGTTTAAACCAAACCTCACAGCACTGGGATCTGTCCTCAGTCGTGCAGGGTTCAGATGTCAGCAGAGCAGAGGCTCTTAAGGGCTTGTGTGTTTGCTGTGGAGCAGCCCGGACATGCAGGCATGGTTTGATGCCCCAGGAGAACCACAATAACCAACATCAAATAAGGGGAGCTGCTGACATTTTGACCTCTACTAATCACATTCGTGGTCAGCCAAGCTCATCTCAGCACAAGGTCCCCAGTGGTGGCCCCATGTGGTGGGCCAGATCCTCCTGTGTTTTTGCAGAGGACAAACTGAAGTGTGTCTTAACCACTCAAGGGAAGGAGAGCCTTTCCACTGATTTCACTAAGCTCTGGATAGGACCATTCATCCCTTAAGGGCTATGTAAAAGTTGCAGTCTGACAAGGAGTATCTTGTTGAATCAGTTAGTCTGGCCTAATCTAATCTAACCCACCTCTCTGTTTGTCTTTCCCTCCTTTCTGCATAGGAATTTCTCACACACTCATTACCCGAGATTTTGTCTTGCTTGCAGATTTCCATGCAAGGTAGAAACTACCTCCACAGGCTCACTGGAAAGCTCCTGGTTTCTCCCAGGAGCTCTCTCTCTCTCTGGATATACTCACACATCTGCCCATTGTGCATCTGAGGAGGCATTGTGTTGGCCACAATGACGTTTGTTCCCAGGTTCTCCTGGATCAGGTGAGGGTGCAGGTGGTGGTGGGTGTGCGGCGTTTCACTCGATGAGCCTAAGAACATGCAGAAGACATTAATGGCCACAATGGCACAAGGAAACAGTTCAGATAGGCAGAGCCACTGCATCCAAATGTCCAAGGCTTTGTGCACCATCACCTTGTGCACAGGTGACTGGAGTACACCCCTCCCTTTTTCCTGCATGTGTGCCTTGAACTAACTAACCCCTGCCTGCTGCCTGCATGTCCTCTTATACAGGATTATATTCCTTAGTCACACCTCCACGTGCAGAATAGCACAGTGGGAACTTTTCATTTTGTTTTGTCCCATTGGATGCTCCCACTAGAAAATCTAGGATGTTCTTTCAGCCTGAGCTTTCAGACCTTTCCTTCTGACAGAGGAGAATTGGTGAAATGGCTGCCAGGTAGGAGTCTGGGGGGTGCACAGCAAAGCTCGTCTGTGTGCAGAGAGCTGGGGATGCCTCCCTGTAAACAGAGGCACAGCTGATGCATCTCTTTAGGTGAGAAGAAGCAGAGGACCTTTGGTTACCCCTGTCAAGGACAGGGGAGATGATTTTGTGTGAGTCAAGGGCTGACCTGCAGACTGGCTGTCTCTAACTTTGCTAGATAGGGAGCAGTGACTAAGGAGGGTCTCAAGGGGACAACAGTCAGGGAATGCCAAGAGACCTCAAGTACTCACCTCCCAGCAGCATCTCCTGCAGCAGGTTGTCAATCTTAGCCATGCCAAAGAGCTTGACGAACTGGATCTGCTCTATCATCTGCCAGGTGATGCTCTGCAGCACGGGCAGCAGCAGCAGCAGCTCCCCGAAGCGGCCGCGCGAGTCGTACTGCCGGTCGTTGATGTAATCCTCCAGGCTCACCTGCACCTGGTACCGCATCCGCTTGATCTTGGACGGGTCACTCAGCCCCTTGGCATCTGCAACGAGCCACACAGCCAGCTCTCCAGGCTGCTGCCCTGGGAGCTGCCTGCCAGTGACAGCAGGAAGGCAGCCTGAGGGCAGCTGCCTCTGATTCCCCATCGTCTTACACTGACTTCTCTCCTCCCTCTCTAAGAACAGTTTGGCCCAGAGAGACCAGGCAGCTTTTCCACCACTCAGGACTGGTGTTAGTCAGCATAATCCAGACTAGGCCCCTCTGATGGTAACCCTCACCAAGCTAGGCCATACCTGGGTCAAAGAAGATGATGGCTTTCAAGCAGGCATATTCGTTGTCATCTATCTGCAGCTCCTGGAAGGGCAGCACCAGCTCGTCCAGGATGCGGATGGCCACACGGTTCACCTCCACCAGCTCGGGGCAGTTCCGTGGGATGATGTGGTCATTGCCTTCAGACAAGCAGCACAGACCATCATTTTGTCATTGCTCAAACTTAGCTGGGGTGACAAGGAGCTCAAAATGCAGGTAGCTGATGCTGAGATAATTTTGGGGTGGAGGAATTAAGAAGTTCCTCCTTCAGCCCCTACCCTGTCTCAGAACATGAGAAATTTTGATCTGTGTTGCCAGAGCAGCTTCTCATCACACAGGAGCTACTCAAGTGAGGAAAAGCTGACCAAGGAGTGAGAGCTTTTTTCTCAATCCCACCACAGCCTGCTTACACAAACCTGGGGCTACACCATGAATGTTCACACAGTCCCCAATTTTGCCACACCTCATGGCTTTGATGTCAATGTCAGCGAGGCCTAGCTGCACCCAACGGTTGTGCTGGGCTTGCTAAAATACAGAACAGCTCAAGCTACCACCCTGCAAAAAGGATGTCCCCAAACACTGGACCACCCTCTCCTTCACCCCAGCAGGGAAGTGCCACAGAAACACATGGGCTGGGAGCAGAAGTGCAATTTTTACCTAGCAGCAAGACATCCTTGAACACCATGGACCTCTTGGCAGCTCCCAGTAACAGATGCTCCCCTGCGTGTGCACGCAGCAGTGCTACCTGCAAGGGCAGGGAGAAGTTATTTGGGTGATGCAGGGACTGAGACAAAAACTGATTTCATGTCAGCAAGAGGGAAAGCTCAGCACTCCTGTACTGCACTCAAGGATGGGAGTGAGGGCCCCTCTTCAGTTACAGGCAGAGAAAGAGATCAAATAATGCTCTGTGCTAAACCAGTTATAAACCCAGCAGAACCAGCAGGTAGGAGACAGCACCTGAAATATCCCATACTCAGGACACATGCCATGAGCAGGACCATGCTAGACTGTCCCAGGACCTGCCACCAGTGTGGGCTGTTTGCAGACAGTTCCCACCAAGCGCAGAACCAGGGACCACACTCCATCCTGGGAAGTGGGAAGAAGTACAGTGCCAGCTGTTGGACACTGCTGTCCCTCTGGGCTGTGCCCACCTCCCACTGCAATCACAGCCATGGGCTCCCATGTCCAGCTGGCCAGTGGGGTCACCCCCTGGCCATTCATCCCCTGCACAGCCACAGGAACTGGGGAAGGGAAGCCAAAGGGATGTTTTTCTCCCCTGATGTTAATGATTGAAGTGTTTCACTTTACACCCTCCAGTGGCTCCTGAGAATGTTCTGAATCTTTTGCCCTCCTTCAGTTAAAAATTTCAGAGATTTAGGCAGAAAGAGAAGTTAACAATTGGACATCCTGACACAGAGACTTCTTAATGTCCAGCCAGGATCTTCTGCTGGAGAAAACAATCATTAAACATTAATAGAGAAATGCTGAAAAGTATGTCCTGATGGGAATGGTCCACTTTTCCAGTGTGTTACCCTCAGCATCTGTCAAAGCCAAGAGAAGCCTTACCCTACCAGGAATGCAAGGAGAATGTATCACCCATAGAAGAGAGCTCTGGTTAGGAAACATGCTGATATCTAGGAGAGGGGTTTTTGGTTTTTTTTCACCACAGATGGTAAAAAAGGTTATGCAAAATAAATAGAGATCCTTGCAAAAAGACTGTGCACACATGATACTGGAGAATCTTTATCTAGATGCCAAAATCTAGCTTTTACTCTATCGCTGTCCAAACATGGGTGGATATGTTAGCTGAGCTGCTTGGAATTACCAGAGCTGCACAAAACTGAGCTTTCCTACCTGACAAAGCTATGACAAGGAAAAAACTGCCAGCCCCAGGAGAGAGTGAAGCTCTCACCTAAAAATTTCCTGCCTATCGCAAATTCAGTTCACAGAATTGTGTCCAGAGAATTTCCTTGTTTGAGCAGGGTCAAAGTGAATTACTTCAAGAAGGCCAAACCATCTCATTTGATATTTGTTCTTGCAGTGATGAACCTGAGATACATCATTCCACTGTGAATTAGGATAGATCTACAGTTGTAACACAACAAAGCAGAACTTGAACTTTGAGATGAAACTCTTTGCCCCACCAAACATGGGAGTTTTGACATTTTGGCGCAGAAGGAGAGTGAGGGGTTGGGTATGATCTTTTCTACAAAAGGAGATCTGTTTCATCAAGCAGCCTCTCCCTTGCGGGAAGGCAGGCTCAAACTGTGCCATCTTTAGGCTGTTTTCTCCTTTGAGGAATTTTGCAGCCCCCAACTGTAAAATGAGCTCATGTGGAAGTTGCTGTAGTTTGCAGAGTTATTGGCCAGGTTTAGGGCCTCGAAGCAGCCTCTCCCTTGTGGGAAGGCAGGGTTCAAACTGTGCCATCTTTAGGCTGTTTTCTCCTTTGAGGAATTTTGCAGCCCCCAACTGTAAAATGAGCTCATGTGGAAGTTGCTGTAGTTTGCAGAGTTATTGGCCAGGTTTAGGGCCTCTGTTCCAAATGGCAGAAGGATGTGATGGGTTGTGCAGAGCTGCCCCAGGTCTGTGCTGGGCTGCAGCCTGTTTATTTGTATATGCTGTGTAAATGGCATTTGCCATTGGAGTCCATTATGGTTTCCATAAATTATGAATTGTATTTTCCTTAGCAGTTTAACAGATTTCTTATAATTTTAAACAATTTAGCATTTGCACACAATAGAAAAAAAAAGGAAACATGCTCCCATTTTAAGAGCACTGAATTCCCCAGAGCTCTGGGTGCTGCTGGGTGGTTACTAAAGAGCTCAGATTTAGGATTTAGAGGGTTTTGATGATCTGGACACTCTAGACTGAATATCCTTTTTCTTCATTTTATAAAAAATACCTCTAGGTCAACAGGGCTGGAGACTGGTCCTAGCTGAAGAGAACACAAACTGGTTTTGTGACTGTACACTGGACAGACTGGAAATCCCTTCCTACCTGTGACAGGACCTGTGCTGGCCCTGCCAGAAGTGCTGTCCCAGCCACATGTGCTGCTCAAGGCTGGGCACACGTCATGTCCTTCAACACCTGCTGCAGCCCTCTGAAATTCAGACATCCACGGGAGGCCTCTCCTTGTAGCTCTTTGAGGCTGCCTGGGATGCTGCAGTGCAGTTCTACAGAGCACACCAAACCCACTGTGCTTATCTTCATTAGGGAAATCACAAATGCCATTTGAGTAATTTCTGTTAAATGCAAATATATCCTTGCATTTTAATCCTGGAAAAGGATTTTCTACTGCCGTGGGAGCAAACTAGTGTATAGCTTCAAAAATCCAAGCTGGGAGCATGGATACAAACATACAGGGGTAAGAAGCAGCGAGAGACAGGCAGGTTTAAAATTTTGGGCAGACCTTAGGCCAGAAATCTCTCCTGCTCATTCTGATTACCCCAAGCATTTGTCAAGCACTTCAGGTTTTTTTAATCCTGGAAAAAAGATTTTCCACTGCCTTAGGAGCAAACTAGTGTATAGCTTGAAAATTCCATGCTGGGAGCATGGATGCAAACATACCCCTAGGCAAGAAGCAGCAAGAGACAGACAGGTTTTAAATTTTGGGCAGACCTTAGGCCAGAAATCTCTCCTGCTCATTCTGATTACCCCAAGCATTTGTCAAGCACTTCAGGTTTTCAAAGTGCTGTGCAAACTATAATTAATAAATGACTGGCTGACCCCAAAATGCTCATCTGATAACGACCTAATTCAAGCTCAGTGTTATCTGGCCGTGCTCATGGGCTGATTAGCTGCACATGCAAGTGGCCCGTGCTGGCATTGTATGGATGCCTGGTCTGTGCTGGCATTGTATGGATGCTGCTCCCAATCAGCTGCAGCAGTCAGGATAACAGAGTGCACAATGAGCATTTTCTCTGAAGGTCTCAGCTGGTTTTGGCTCCCCGCTGCCTTTACCAGGGCAGGGCGAGGTGGGGTGGATGGGGGGACTTGCCTGGTCATCCAGGGGCAGCTCACAGAAGGGGGGGATGTACTTGGCCCACTCCACCAGCACCAGCAGCTGCTGCTTCATGGACTCACACACGTCGGAAATATTGGCAATCTTCTTCCCTCGGATGTCTCCATTGAGCACAGGAACTGGGGATGATATCTGGAAGGAGAGAAGAGATCCTTCAGCTTTCAGTGCCACAGAGCAACCACAGAGAGGAAAATCCCCAGCCCATGGGTTGTGTTGATGCAGACTCCAGAAATTATAATTACATTTTTCTGTGGCACACACCCAGCTCCCAGGACAGGTGACCCAACAAGACTCATTTAAACTCAGATCAGCTTGGGGGGTCTGTGAACATGAAACGCTGCAGCGCAGAGGCTGGGGATCATCTTGGTAAACTGTAATGCCTTGAACAGACTGGAAAGCACAGAGGAAACATTCCTAAAGCCAGGATCTTCCTCCCACTGAACAAGTGTGCTCAGTCAAGATCCAGGGGGGAACAGAGGGGCTTGTGTGGAATCACCCCTACCAGTAGAAAGGACACATCCACCAGTGCTGCTGCACTTGGTCCCACCAAAGTGCAGAGAGCTGCTCCCCCTTCCAGCCTGCTCCAGAGGCAGAGCTGCCATGTCTGCTTTCCACAGGAGGAGAGCAGGCTCTGCTCCTCTCCTGAGTCATCGTGAGCTCACCAGGCCACAGCTTTCTAGGTCTGACATTGCTTTCTGTGAGCACCAGGTCATTAACATTTGACATTATCCACTCTGAATAGCTAAGGGCAGACTTAAAAGATAACAGTCTCCCACCTCCCACTGGCTTTTAGGTCCTTTTGGCAAAACTGGGCAAGTTCAAACATGCCCACAACACAGGTGACATTTGTCACATGGCAAATTATTTGTGATTGCCACTTCATTTGCAAAGGACAGCCCTGACAACTCTGCAAGTACTGTCACACAGAGCTGGACAGAACATCTCCCCCAAACCAGGCACCCAACCTCCTGCCTGGTTCTCATGCATAGCTGCTCACCCAGGTCATCTAAAAATTTGCCCTTAGTCACTACTTTATCCTCATGCTTCTGTAAGCAATTAACTCAACCCCATCACTGCCCTCTGCCTGCCCTCTGTGCTCTTGTACAGCATCAGCTCTTCCTGTCCTATTCCTGCCAGCATTTTCAGCTCGGACCCTGCTGGCCTCCCAAGGAAATGGAATTCAAATGCCACCTGCATTTTTTTTTTCAGGTTGCATTACCTGGAGGCTTTCCAGCTCACCAGCTATTATTGAATAAATAAGATTGTAAAAATCTCACCATGTATTACCCTAATCAGAGGGCCCGGAAGGCTTAGCAAATAAATAAAGACCTCTGGGTGAGTGACCCTAGATCTCGGAGAAAGCAGCTCCTCAGCAGTATCTTGTTCTAATTAGCAAGGCACATAAAAGTTACCAATTACCGTGCAGGAGCCTGCCTTGTTTAATGAATCTCTCTGTGCTCTGTGGGAGAGCAGGAGCTCCCCTGGATTTGTCCATGGTTGTAGTTTTTATCAGCAGACCCTTCTTTCATGTGATGGCACTGAAGGACCCTGAGCCCCAGAAATGACCTTCCCTTGTAGATTTGGTGACTCGAGACCCCCTTGTCTCACACCTCTGGGAGCAGCATCAGTCTTATTTTTATAGGGTATATAAATGTATTCAGGCCTGCACAGGACAAGGTGAGATGTGGGATGAGACTGGATGTGCTTTTTGTGTACAAGACTGGCCCTTGGCCATTCTGGCATATCCCCTCCTTGGGGAAGTGGACCTTACAGCCTGAGCCTCATGTGGAGCCAGAGCACAGCACGTCCTGTCCTGGAGCATCTCCCAGGGCAGCCTTCAGGGCAGTGTGACCCTCGAGGCAGAAGGACTGCCAACTCAACCCCCTGTTCATCGTCCCCAGGACACAGAGTTCTATTCTCCCCAGCTCCATGAAGAGTGGCAGCTCCTGCCTCCAGCACAGCTCCATCCTCATCACTTGTTCTCACAGACAAACCCTCCCTGCAGGCTGTGTGTGCCCATCCTGTCCTGTGTCCTCCCAGAGCTGTGTACACCATTTGCAGTATCCAGCCTCTTAAATCAGAGTAATCTTTGCAATGCGAACACTCTAGGAAACTAATCTTGGCAGTCTGCAAGTGGAAACAGGGAATTCCAGGCAACACTGGAAAAGGTATCTGCATAAAACAAGCAGGAAACTGATTCCTCGTGAAACTGTGCAGGAATCCAAAGTTCCTAACAGCTCATGGGGAAGGGAGGCTGCTCATGCAAGGCCAGCCCCTCGTGGGCTTAGGCAGCCACAGCTCTTTGGATTGCAATGATTCTACTCTACTTTCTTCCATCAGGCTCTCCAGGCTTCCTGTGTCCCATTAAAGCAGAACAAATAATTTCATATTGTTACAACTGAGTTCTGGACTAAGGAGATTTAAAGGGATGGTTTCAGGTAACAAATGCTTTTTGAAAAACCAGTGTTGAGTTGGCAGATAAACCACTTAGAAAAAGAGGTGATAATTTGAAGACTTGGCTATTAAATACTCAGCTGGCTCTACACTCTAGGTAGTGCCTGATGCTTTTGTGTTTGATAAAGAAGAGAGAAGAGGTACCTGCTGTGCCAGGGCTTCTGCGTGCAGGAGGGCATTGATGGAGGGCAGGCTGCTGTCCTCGTAACTTGATCTGCGGGTGCTGATTCGGTCCCGTTCATTTTGTACAGCTGCAAGAGAGGATTTTGGCTGAGCTGCAGGTCGTTCATGGCAATGCACACTGAAAACCAGCACAGACTTCTGGCATTCCCCTTCCTTAGCTGCAGTTTCCCAGCTTCCCTGCCAGGCAGGGCGGAGGTGCAGCTGTGTCTGGTTTGGGATGGATTCCAGCGAGAGCTGACTGCATCTGGTGGATCTGATTTCTTATTTGCTTTATTAGACTTTCCAGGGATGGGGTTGATTCAGAACCCAAACACCTGTAGAGTTCAGTGGGGAAAATTTCCTGGCAAAGGATCTGAGTTTTTTGATTTCATGATATGGCGTTTGAAGCAGTGGCCATGCTCATGTATGCAGCCCAAAGGTGATGTGTGAAATGGAGGAGTATCTGCAAGGTTTCCTTGCCCACATGACTCCTGTGAGCTCCATTCAGAAAAGCTGTTGCACTGGGTAGGTGTAGTTGGAAAACTTCTGTCTCAACTACAATAAGAAAGGAAGAGCAGAACTGCTCCTGCTTATCCATCCAGAGCAAAAGAGCTCTCATACCTTATTGTAAAAGCATCCCAGGACAGGTCTGACCCCAGTGTGCCTCTGTTTGGTCTAGTCTTGAGGGCTTTGAGGGGGAGGATTTGCCTGCTCTGTCTGTCACGAGGCCTGGGCTGGCTGTATCTCACCCTGGCCATGCCACTCAGAGCCATCTGCTCAAATAAGCTATTGATCCATGGCAGGGGAAACAGCACCGTCCCTGCCTTGGGCTGGTGGCTCTCCGGATTGATACATTCTCCATGTATAAATCCACCTGATAAAAAGCAATAATGAGGCTGGGCCAGGAGAAAAGCCCTGCAGTCAGCGGCTGTAAATAGGAGCTCTCAAGGTTATGCTGCTTGTTATCAGTAGCAGGCCCCTGAGTTCAGTCATGCCATGATGTTTTCCAAATGTTTGCTCAGTATTAGCTGGTCATGCACCTAATGTAACTTCTATTGAATATTAACAGACAACAGCACAGCTCTGGGCAGGGGATGAGCTGCATGGAGAGGAGGATTCCTATATTCTTCAGGAAAACTCAAGAAAAGTTGCTTGTGATACCTCATCCCCTTTTACAGGGAATAAATATTCCTGCTCAGAGGTTTTCCTGCAGCCACCAACGTACCACTGGTACTTCCCTGTTGTCTTCAAGGACCCTTTTACTCCAAAGTTTCTCCTTGAGGCAGTGTGAACTGGGAGGAGCATGGGGTTTAATTTCCCTGCATGGAATAACAGGGCTGAATGCCTCCCAGTTGTCCCTTTGCAGACATGAGTGAGGTGAGCTCTGTGGGATGCCTCTGCCCTGGCAGTTTGTCCCTCCTCTAACAGGAGCACCATCAAAGCCACCAGGTTCTCCTGTCCCTTCTCAAAACAGGACTAAACAAGAGGAGAATCCTGCCATGGGGACCTGTAAGGGCTGCAGAGACAGGGAGGTAGGGGAGCTGAGGGGGTGAGCATGGGCCATGTAGGGATATCTCTACTCTTCTCATGCTGTTAAATAGCAAAAATGTTCCACTTTACTCTGGTTCCTTTCTGCTGTGGCTGAAACTAAACTAAACTCACTGCCTCTCTGCAGAGGGTCAACAAGAATCTATATATCTATCAGGAAAAAAAAGGTCCAAAATGTCAGTGTGACTTTTGCTGGACTCACCTAGCCAGCTGTGGGTTTTGCGGTCACTCTGGGATAGCACTTGGAGCAGTTTTACCAAAGTCTTTCCAAATTCCCAGGCCCTCTTTGAAGTTTCTGCTCCTCAGTGATGTGGAGAAGCATTCCCAAAGCCCTCCAGTGGACTGCAGTGTGGGAGCCCAGGTGCTGTGTGTGTCAGTGTGAGCAAGAGTGAGCTGGAGAGCCCCGGGTGTGATTGTGTGCACAAACATGGGCAGCTCTGAGACACAGGCATGGATTCTCCCTAAATCCCCTGTGGTGGGGGTCAGGATCTGTGCCCAGGAGAGAACAGTGCAGGGAACACAGGGCTGAGATGGTGGGGCAGGTGTGCACCTGGCAGGGACCAGCCTTGGCTGCAAGGGCTCCCTCAAACACACCCAGGCAGCGTCAGGGACTGCTGCTGGGGGAAGGCAGAGGCACCCACCTTCCTTCTTCATTCCCGCTCGGAAGCACTTCTTCAGCCTGCAGTACCGGCACTGGTTTCTTTTGTCTTTGTCTACCACACACTGCCTGTTAAACCTGGGAAGGAAGGAAGGAGGAAAGGTGTGAGGAGTGGCAAGGCTGAGCCTGAAGGCAGGACAAGGCAGAGCCCCAGGCTCCAAGATATGCTCAGAGAAGGTTCCCAGAGGCTCGCCCTGAGAGAGGAGCCCCAGGCTGTGATTTTTCCACTCCTGCTTTAACCTGTGGTTTCCTTTTTGCAGCAAAATCTCAGTTCTCCCCTGTGCCTGGTCAATATGGACAGACTAGAACTGAGTCACATGCAGGAGCTCAGACTACTCAGTAACCACTAGGGATAGGATGTCTATAGTGGACTAACAAACCCCAGGGAAGTTAAAAGTGTGATTTAAGAGGGTCAGAACCAACTTGGAAGTTGCTGTTGTAAGTTAGACCCCAGTAGAATGAAAGGGAAAATGCCTTTATTGTGAATTTTAAAAAGAGGTGGAAGGTTGTAGTAGCTCATTTGTGAGGTTAAGAAGTCAGTTTAAGTTCCTGCATCTCTCCAGAGCTGTGTCTGGGATTCTCATAGGTTGTTTCTGATCTTCTGGACAGCATTGCTGCTCTGCAAACTGCTCTGCTGCCACTTGCACTTCAGAGAGGACTTGGGAAGAAACCAGCTCCTTCCCTCCAGGCTTGTGTCACCAAATCCCCTGCGCATGGTGGGGAAAACTGATCTCCCATGTGTGTGATTCACAAGCCGGGTGGCCACTTGCAGCATGAATTTCACTTGCAAATTTGCTCTAATTTACAGCAGATTGATCCAGTTTGCAGAGTAAAGACAAAGGAGTACAGAGCTGGAGAAGGGCTCCCAGCCATGCTGAATTCTGTAGCTTTTGAAAGGACTTCTTTCTACTCTGCTTTTTAAAGGCCCCAAGCTATGATTTGCCCAAATGGATGCCTGAAAGCAGCTCTTAAAATATTCCTGTAGTGCATATAAAAGCCTCAGCTTCCACAGAACCAGGCACCTTGGCTTTTCTGATGGAGTTGTGGGGAGGGGGCTCCGTGGGCAGCCACCTTAAATAACCCTGGGGTGCAAATGATGATGTGCTTCACAGGCACTCATAAACCTGGGGCTTCCTTCTGTCACTCAGGTTTTAGAGTTGTGTTGCTCTTCATGCTCTCCAAGTGGCTGTCAGGCCATCAGGAGTAACTGATTCAAAAAGCCCAAGGGATTTAGACACTGTGAACAGAGGATTCTTCAGTTTCCTTTGGACTCCCTACAAGTGAGTTGCTCAATGCCAGCAGCAGGCAGGTCACAGCTGCTGATGGCACAGGAGAGCCGTGGGCTACCCCCAATGGCACGAGGTGCAGTGCATGAATTTCAGGAGCAACACGAGTGCCTCATCCTCAGAAAAGTGCATGTTATGCCTCCCCCATGGTGCTCCTCAGGTGTTCTTGTGTCATGTCACAGGCAGTGACAGCATTGTAGCTGGATGGCAGGCACACATCCATCTGGTGATGGAGGAGGATTGCCCCCAGGGAGAGCAAGGTTTGTGCTGCACTCAGCAGCAAGGTGCTAAGTCCCTGAAATGGGGCTCCTCCCCTGGCACCTGCTGCTTGCTGGCCACATCCATGGGTGGCCATACCCATTTGCAAGAACATGTGCTTGGCCCCTAAAATATGGGTCAAGACCTTCCAGGGTCTTTCCCCAGTGAGCAGTCCCAAAGTCAGGGCAGTCACTGACCCCTCCCAGCTGAGGGCTCAGCTCAGAGAAAGGGGAGGAGGATGCCGGGAGGATGAAGAGGATGAGGGGCAGTGCTGCTGCACTTTGAGGGCTTTGACTGAGCTGTGAGGGGCTGTCCTGTCTGAGCCATGAGTGTCTGTGGCCTCTGTCCTCACCTGCAGGAGTACATGTGGTTCTTCCTGACGCTCCTCCTGAAGAAGCCTTTGCAGCCATCGCAGCTGGAAGCCCCGTAGTGCTTGCCGGTGGCGCGGTCCCCGCAGATGGCACACAGCGTGCTCACCCCAATGCTGCTGGAGCTGCTGAGGCTGGCTGCTTCTGACGGAGACGTGTCTGCTTGGGGAAGGACACGGCAAGAAGAGGACAGTGAGACAGCCAGCCAACATTTGCTGACTCAGCTAGAGTCAGAGACTCTTGGAGAAACCAGGCAGCTGCAGCCTGGCTGTGTGAGAGGTGTGTGAGGAGAGAGGGTGTAAGCTCTCAGTGCTGAAGTAATTGCATTTTGGGTGCACTAAAACTTGCTGTATTCCATGGTGAGACCCCTCTTCCCAAAGGCCTGGCTGCAGCAATGCCTTCAGATAAAGTGGAAGCCCATTTGCAGGAGTCACAGGGCAGAGCCAAAATTCCTTGGGGATTTGCAGACACTTTGGGCTGCAGTAGTGTGGCCAGAGCAAAAGCTGATGTAGAGTTAAAGCTGAGGTATTACAGCTCAGGGTGAGCAGCTGATTTGTTAGGGAGGTGTTTGTGAAACTGAAAGAGGCCAAGACAGCCCCGAGCAGATGAGGCGAACAGTTCCCTTTTCCAGGCATGGAGCTCCAGCCTGCACAGCCCTTCTTTGGGAAAACAAGACTTTAGGTAAATAGCAAACTCAAATTACTTCAGCTGGAAGACTTATGTGGGCAAGGCTACCCATGCAAGAAAGGACTGATTAAAGAAAAAAGGTGTCACTCTGGCATGGAGAAAGCTATAGGCTCGGTATCTTCTAGAGTCTGGTAGAATCACAGTGGAAATTGATGTGTCTTACAGTCTTTACAGACCAAGAGGGACTGGGACTTGCAGGGCTTTTTTTGGAGGATAGGGAATTGCAGCAGGCTCTGGAGGAAAGGACATCTGAAAGGCTAAAAACCATACAAGGGCTACACTAAACCCCTCCAGCAAGCCAAACAAACCTCAAGGCTGAAGGGATCAGCCCTTAATTGAGATGATCTAATTGTCCCCTCCCATGTACGTTTCTCTGTGTCATCACAGGCACATCCCCCTCCCTCAGTGGAAATGCCAGTCACAAATCAATCATACCCAGGATCTACAAAGCCATAGAAACCTGCTGGGATTTTTAATGCCTGAGTCTATTGGCCCCTGAATTTTTTTTTTTTTGTAGGTTTTTGTAGGGACTCAGTTAAGGCTCACCCTGGAAGGACCACAGCTGCTCCCGCCTGGCCCCCAGCAGAAGGGCTGGTCCCAGCTGGACTCCCCATGGTAGCCCAGCTTTGGTGCTGGGGGGGTCAGGGCAAGTCTGGCTGGGGCAGGGCTGCATTTTTAGCTTCTATTTTGCAGAGAAAGGTGTATTGCAGCAGGAGCTGCACATCCTGCTCATGCCACCCCTCAGCAGGAGTTACTGGCACAGAACCAGCAGTGAGTGAGAACAGGGGTTCTTGAGCTCCCTACCTCTGATAACTTCTTTCATTTCCCTGCCTGGTTTCCGTCTTTCCAATTCCTCGTGTCCCTCCTGTATTTCTGTGTGAGTCACTTTGCTGCCTGTCTATGTTTCTGCCTGGCACACCCTGTCACCAGTGCAAAGCTCCTGTCTCCACTCCCAGAGCCCTGAGCTTTCCCAAGGCTGTTCTGGCTGTCTCTTGCCCCTGTGAGCAGCTTGTTTCTGAAAACAGCCTTCCTCCATGCATATCCTGAGGGCTCAGCTAAATGCGGCTCACTCCAGAAGGAAAGTCAAATTCCCAGTTCCAGCTAAACATAGGACTTAGATGTGAGAGGAAGAGCTGATCTGCCTGTAATCCCATTACTTGTATATCTGTGGCAGCCCAGATAAATCCCTTTTTAGCAATCTATCAGGCTGTAATCAGATGAACATAGAGCAGGAACAACTGGCACTCTTATCAAAGAAATTGCAACATCTCAGTCTAATAGTCAACAACAATGAAATTATTGCTTAATGGATAATTTTCCAATTAAGTTTATTCTGACAAATACATGCCAAAAATGTGGGCTCTGGCTGCTGCAGTCAAGTGGTTGGAGTTAAGGTAAATGGAAGAATCAAAAAAATCTGACTTTGAGACCTCTCAGCTGAGCTGTGTGTTAGGACAGGAGCTGCTCAAGAGGTCCCTGAGCCTGTCTGAGCACAGGATGCATTTTGCCTGTGAGAGGCAAACTTGGTCCCTGCTGAGCAGCAGCCCTGGGGCTGAGCTGCAGAGCTGTGGTGGGCACTGGCTGGGCTCTGAGCAGACCTTGGCCAGAAAAAGAGGCACAGGTTCTGCAGGTGGAGGTCCTGCAGGAGGTGTGTCCTCCAGGGCAGCTGCTGCAGTGCCAAAACAGCCCTGGAACCAAGGGCTGTCCCTGGCCTGGAGCTGGGCCCAGGAGGAGAGGAGTTGGTGCTGCCTGCCCCAGCTGACTCATTCACCCCTGGAGTGTCACAGCACACTGGATCTTGTCACAGGAAATTCTCCTGTCCCTCTGCTCCACGGAGCCCTAGGTCCGGGGCGGGCAGATCACAGCCCCCTGTGCAGATGCTCGCTGGATGGGAGAGGGGCACGGGGAGGGAGCAGGGCCTGAGCTTGTCCCAGAGTGTCCAGATGGACAGCAGCAAAGCCAAAGAGGGGGACTTTTGGCCCAGAAGCACCTGAAGGGGTAGGACCAGCCCCCAGGAGTGGAGAAGGGGCTGGGACCCAGAGGGGTGGGGGATTATTGCACAGCAGAGCCACTTTGGCACCTCAGAGTCACAACCCTGACAGAGCAGAGCCTAACCCAGGATAGACACACACAGGCTGTGATGGAAGAGTCCACAGAGCCAGCACAGCCCTTCTGGGACAGAGGTGCCCAGCAGTCCTGGGCTGGAGGGAAAGGGCTCAGAGGGCCACTTTCTGTGGCTTCGTTTAGTCATTAACCTCATATTTAGAGAGACTTTAGGGGAGACTTGGAGAGGAATCTCTTGCTATCTCTGAGCATTTAATCACCAAGACTCTTTGGTCCTCAAATGGGTGGGCCAGCACTGTGAATTCTGCAGGGTTAGGCATAATGTACCCTCCTGAAGGAATGGGAACATTTGTCTATCCTCTCAAGGTCCCCTTGTCCCTCTGACTGGGGGCTGAACCGGGAGAGGGGATGCCACCCCACACCCCAGTGCTGCACTAGGAAAGGGCTGTGGCTCACAACAGCTGCAGCGGCAGTGCCTAAATCACTTCTCACAGTGATTTTCACCCTTACCAGGTGCTAAATGCCTTTCTGCTTCAGGGACTTGCTCTCAGCTCTGGAGGCACAGACTCAGTTGTCTGTCTGAACCATCAACAGCACTTCACACAGAAGCTTTTGGCTGGGGTCTGGGAGACCCCCACCCTGTTCAGCCCCAGCTCCATTCCCTAGGCTGAATGTCTGGAGGGGACCTCTCATTCCAGCCAGCTCCTGGCGTGTGCCTGCTGCCAGGGGCTCTGGGCTGCAGGACACCATCCTGCCTGTACCAAACACAGCTCTGCTCTCCCCGCTGGGAAAACAGAACCCCACCTTGAGAGCTCCCCATCTGACACCCCTTCCCTCCCCAGGAACATTTTCGTGACCACCCCAGGGATTTCTCCTCCTGCAGCCCCCAGCTCATCCCACCCTGCAGAGGGAGAAGTTGGAGGGGACTCACCATTGCCCATAGCCAGCACCTGCATGTTCTCAAACTCCAGGGTGGTGTAAGCCGGGTCTAGCGCTGCGCTGTAATCTGCCATCTCCATGTCTATGAGGGCTTTGGAAAGGCGCATTATCCTCGGCAAACACGGGCCAGATTGTACCGATTCCCTTGGCCCAGGCTATTGGCCCTCCTGCCTCCCTCTGCCTTCACTGCGTCCCCTACCTGTTGTCTTTTAATTCAGATATTTCTCTGAAAGGATTTGCTGAGCCTCAAGGCCTATACTCCCAGAGGGGTGGAGGCAGGAGGCAGGGGGTTAATCTTTAATCATCTCACCCATTGCCGAATACTGCTAAGCTTTTTTTTTTTTTTTTTTTGGTGGAGCAGCAGTGATTCTTGTTGACTGTTTATTATTGAATCTCAAGGTGTTTCTGATCCTGGCTCCTGGGTGCAGGCAGCACCATGGGAGCAGGCACTTGCCAAGGGCTATTGACCTTGATGCTGAGCTGCTGGTGTTGCTCTTAATTATACCTGGGGTGGAAAATTTGGAAAAAACCCTACGAGACAACAAAGTTCTTCGCCACTACTGTCATTGTCTTCCTCTCCTCACCACTGATTGCTTACGCCCCTGTTTTTCCCTTCTCTTGCTCTCTCCATCCCTTCCACTCCTTCTCCTTTTCTCTCCCTCACAGTCAGAGAAGGTCAGCTCCTGCCTGGAAATTTACACGTTGCTATGTGAAGTGAAATGTATGACTCCTTTTACTTCCCTATAAACCAAGTTTTACAGGGGGCTGGATGCCCTATAAACAGATCCCTTTCTGCAGCCATGCCCAAACAGCGAGTGGGGCCGAGGGGTGGCACAGACACCCTTGGAATGGCCAGGGTGGCTCCTGTCCCACAGCTGAAATCACTCTGTGCTGGACACCCCCAGCCTCGTACTGCCTGATCTGTCATAAAAGTTTCATGAGACAGGTTACAGAGAGCAGCAGGAGCTTTCCTTCTGCGAGTGCTCTGTCTGCTGTCAGCACCAGCAGTGGTTCTGTGCCTCACCCAGACCTGGGTCTGACCCCGCTGCTGGCGCTGGGCAGTGGGGCCAGAGCTGCCCGTGCTCCCCTCCCCAGCTGCCCCACATCGCTCCTCCACTTCAGCCAGAGCTGAGAGTTTTCAGTGCAATTGCGAGATCATTGAGTGGGAATTTAATCGATCTCTGAATGGCACCGGCTCATGGTGCAAGAGAATCAGCAATTAATGATTTGGTATCAGTTTGTTCTGCATTGAAAACAGCTCCATGGTTTCGCAACCAGCGGCGACTGAGTCCACATGCTGCTGATCTGGGCTCCCAGTGCCTGGTGTTTGTTCTTCCCAGGCACCCCAATGCAGCCCCAACCCCACTGGCACCACGAGCTGCCCTGGCCGCAGTGCCATCACTGCCACAGCATGAATCCAAGGTCTCTGGCTCCACACCAGTACATGCCTTTGGGCAGCTATGCTAGTGATGATTTTCTACTCACGTTTTAGGAGCACACGGAATTGTTCAAGCAGCCCTTTGCCCCCCAAAACCGTGACCTACATAGGACTTCTAAACAGCTCCTCTACCCTGAGGCTACAGGTCTGCAGGAGTGAATCTGAGCACAAGGGAGAGCCCTGCTTTCTCACTTGGGAATGGTGATAAACGATCCTTTCCTGCAGGGAACACAGTCATTCCATCAGTGCTCCTGAGGGACAGGCCAGAGCTCATGTGCTGGTGGCTCTTCCTTTAGGCAGATACAGTCCTTGCCAAAAACTAGTTTCATGATGTGCAGACTGGGATGGAGATGCAAGAGTAGAGTACAGCCCCCTCCATAGTCTCATCCCAGGGACCTCAGTCCCAATCCCAGCCAGGCCACGGTGATCCCTTTGATTAGATAAATGCTACAGACACCAGGTCAAATATGTGCAGGATTTGCCACAGCGTCTAGTAAAATATCGTAAAAGCAGGGCCTGTTCTGCTCTGCTCAGCAAAACAAACCTTGTGCTTCAATAGCCTGCTGAGCAAGGGGGCTGCAAAGGCCATTTACTTCCCAGGCAGGAGGGATTAAAAGGGCCAGGAATAGAAATCAGAGAGGCAGCGTGTGCAGGAGAGCAGAGATAAGGAGTGGGGAAGTTTGGAGAGCATCAGGTGGCTCACGAGGCCAGGGCTGTCAATGGGACGTGGTGTTTTCCCCCCAGGGCTGTGTTGAGTGTTGTTTTCTCACTGCCTGTGTCCTCTGTGGGTCACCAGTGGCCCCTCCCAAATCCCTCATGTTGGTGTGGAGGTTGAGGACCAGACCAGCCAAGGACACCACGCACTTCCTTTGCCCTGGAGTTGGGCTCTGATGGAAGCATTGGCTGCTCCCTGGGAGCTGTTGCTGGAGACACCCCTGGTGTCTCCCCTGGTGTCTCCCCTGGCATCCTTGTGTGGTGAGTTTTGGGACAGCTTGCCAGTGCAGTCATGGCTTGTACTGGCCAACAGGACCCCACAGCTCTGTAGCAGGTTTAGGTGGGAGGTGTTTGAGTCAGCAGCTGCTTGTGGGGCTGTTTCAAACACTTCTGGATACAGAAGATATTTTGCCATTTTTATTCCACATAGAGAGACAACTCATAGCTGGAAGACCCCCACTGATGGGTGGAGGTTGTTCCCAGACTAGGTGCTCCTGAGAAGTTCAGCTCCCAGATCTGCTCCTCTCTCCTGTCCCTGTTTTCTGTACACTCCAGCCACCATTTCCTATGACAGGACATTATTGCAAAGCAGACCATGACAGCTTGGGGGCTTGACCTGTTCTGTGCCAAGTGATTATTTAATTTTTATCTGTTGAACAGTAAATCCTTTCCCACACTGGCACATCATGGTACTAATTCTGCCTTATCTATATATCACTGTCTCGCAAATTTATGCAAACCTAAAGGGGATTCCCTGAGGATAAGATCTGTTCTTCTCAATAGGTGAGGATCAAGAACAGAGTACTTAATAGGGCATTTTTGGAAAGGATGCCGTCACCTACTGTGCTTGCTAACTCTGCATGTCCAGCAGGTAAGCAGGCTCCTCTCAAGGGGCTCCTCTCTGGTGCTTCTTGAACAGGGTGTTGTAGGATCAGAGGATAATTGATGTCAGAAGGGACCTCAGAGTCTCTGCCCCAGGCTCCTGCTGGAAGCAGGGCCAGCTATGAGAGCAGCATGGGCTCCCTGCAGCTTTATCTAGTCTCAACTAGACTTGAACACCTCCAAGGATGGAGAGCAGCCTCTGCAGCCAGCTGGTACTTGACTGTGCTCATGGTTTAACACTGGCTGAACCTCTCTGCAGTTTTCATACCCCTTATCTCCAGCCATGCAGCCTGTGAGGAGCCTGGCCCCATCTTTTTGGTGCCCCTGTGTGTGCTATGCTGCTGCAGTTCCTGCTGGCCCATCTCTCCCCCCTGCTGCAGGACACAGCTCTGCCTGGGGCTGCCTGCAGGCTTTCTGAGCATGGACCATGACCCTCCTGCCCTGTGCTTTTCTCTCTCACAGCTCTGCACTCTTAAGAAATGCCCTGCAGTAAAGCCAGAGCCAGCAGGACCCCTCAGCTTTCATCGGCAAAGCCATCGCCGGCCTGGCAGCCCTGGCTCCAGAGCTCTGCTCCCTGTCACTCGCAGCTCCAAGGCCACTGTAGAGCTGCAATATTTCACATGGCTTTTTTTTCTTCCCTTCACGCACACGAAGCAGAGGTGGGCTCAGGTGTGAAACCTCTGCAGAGCAGCAAAGCCCTGAGCACGGTCAGGGCCCGGCTCGGCCTGTCGCCATTTCATGAGGGAGCTGTGGGGAAGCAGGAAGCCCAGGTACAAGACAAAGAACAAAAGTCCCAGGGGAACGTCACCAGCACAGTCATCTCCACACATGCAAAGGTCCCTTCTGCCTTTTTTTTTTTTCCCCTTTGAAATTTCAAATTCCAGTTTGTGGACAAAGTCCTGCCTATCTGAGAATATAGATCTCCGACCACTGACCAAACTCCACTTCAAGCAGTCCCGAGGACTGCTCTTCCCCTTCCCACGGACGTGTCTGCTCAGTCCTTGGATCTCCCAGGATCATGCCGAAATTTTTGCACTGGAGCACAGCACTGGTACTCGCACAAAGTGGATTTTGCACTTAATGTCAGCAGCTTCCTTTCTGGGAAGAACCTCGGGAATAACCAGGTAGGAGCCTTATCACCTGCAATTCATTTGGCCAGCCATTGCAGAGAGAAAAGGAGAAGGAGAAACAAGGGTTTCCATTGTGCTTGTACCAGCAATTTTAGCTCATCATTTAAGTAAGGGAAGGGGGAAAAAAAAAAAGGCAGCTTCAGAGGGGATGATAAACTAGAGGGAACATGAGCTTGTGGAGGCAGAGCCACTCAGTATGGTTAACTGATAACTCCAATTTGCCTCTTCCCTCTCATCTTTTCTGATTCTCTCAATTAAGCTCAACTTATTCTCATGCTAATCATTTCTTGACCTGTTTATTCTGCATTAAAAAATTAACAGAGAGCAGTTTACTGCATGACTTGCTCACACAGAACTGCTACAGATTAGCAGGCATGCTTTAAGCCTCTACACTGATTCTTTTGGGTCTCACAGCCAGTCTGCACAGCTCGAGGATGAGCTTTTTCTTCCTGTTTTTAAAGAACAGCTTTTTCTAAAGTCAATATAAACCCCCCCTCCTTTCATGCCTTGAGTATATTTGCTCGGTGACTATTTCCAAATGGGAAAGATAAAGCCAAGGGCTTGTGTTTTGTCAGACTTTTTGTAAACAGGGGTATTTAGGCCATACTGTCAAACTCTCCTGCCTTCTACCTTGGCGTGCTGTGACTCCAGAGTAGAGCTGTCGGTGTGTTAATAAGCAGCTCCAAGGAATTTTTTGGGGCTGGAGGGCTGCAGGTCAGTGCAGCTGCACAAGCCCCCAGCTCATGGGGTAGATCTTTCCCTCTGCTCTGGGCAATCATATGACAGACACACAAATGGGGGTCTGCTCCCATGTCCCTCCCCAGAATGTCCCCAGAAGCTGTGAGAAGCCTCCAAGAAAACAGATGATTCAGCAGAGGTTGTTGAGGGTCTGTTTGCCCCTTGCCAGCTGCACACTGCACATCCCTGCTCCAGCAAAACATTTTGAGGAGGTCAAAATGAGCCAACAGCTCCATCCAGGGAGGTGGATCTGAAAGATCCCGCAATGAGAGGTAGGAGGAGACCACAGCCATGTGCCAGACCTTGCCCG